CCCATAAAGATGTTGTAGAATATTTTAGTTTAGGTATAAAATGTCAGTGATAATATAAGGCAGTGGTGCCATTTCCTTAGGCTCTATTTTAGCAGTTGTTTGTGGGGAAAGGCATAATTCAGGCATTTCTTCCTTGACTCTTGAAGTAACCTGAGGTAGTCTTAGGAAGTAATTCATGTATTTCCTCACTCATTGGAAAGGAAGCAATGTTACTAACAGAAATGCTCTTGATTTTTTTCTTTTTCTCAGTAGTAGAGTCATTATCAAATTCTGTGGTGAAACTGGAAACTACAGAATTTGATGTTCTTTAAAGACATTTCTGTAGAAAGGTCATTCTGATTAGCACCTAATCTCAAAGGACTAAACCTTAGGGAGGAGACAGAATGCTATCCTAAGTTTGAGAAAAACTTGATGAATATTGTGATTCATGAATAGTTTCAGGAAATCTATCATAAACCAGAAAATCAGCTTTGAATGTACTCATGGTGAATATAAATTAGTACCTTGTCTTTTTATCCACATAAACCACAGAATTAGAGAGTTAGTCTTTTACTTTGGAGATAGGTGTTTATAATACTATATTTAACAGATGACACCTACCTTCTTTCTGATATGTTCTCCATGTGATGAAAATTCACAACCATTTTTGCTTAATGTTTTAAAACCTGAGTTTTAAGAAATGTACATACATAGTTTCAGTCTATCTTCTTTAACACATGTTTAGTGAAAATGGAAAAATTGTTATTCTTTTCATGTAACCTAGACAATTGATGAATTGCTTAGCTGTATCTTCTCTAAAATAGAATTGTTTAAAATTTCCTTCTAGGTAGCAGTTTTTGATACTTTAAAAGTTTTGTTTTGTTTTTCTCTGAACTTTGTATTGAATCTCTAAATTAGTTAAATAATAGGAATACCAGGCCTTCATCATTTTCAGTAGGAGCATTAGAGAATGAGTGGATGGCAAAAATTTCACTTTGATGAGAGAGCAAAGAGCTTTGCAAACTTATTTCTAACTTAATTTTGTATTCCCTCAAGCTAATTAAAGTATGCTAGTTTGGGGAGAATTCAGTAGGAAAAAGGAAAGCATTAAGGCTGCTCATTCACCAAAAAAAGGTGAAAAATAGTTAAGAATATCATTTATTTCTACTGTTTTATTTTCAAATTTAAAGGTAGAGATTTTAGTATTATAGAGGTTTTTGTGAAATGTAAAGAATGTTCGATGTTTATAGAAGACTATAAATGGCAGTCACATCTTTGCCTTTGGATGTTATACAACGTAGATATTTCTTAAAATAAAGTGAGTTATTCCAACTCCCCACAACTTATTTTGACTTAATTTAATACTTTAATATCCAGAAAATGAAGTTTATTTGTTTATTTTATAAGAATTTATCACAGTTTGTTGTTAATATACTACTTAGAACCACTGGAACCCAATGTTATATATGAAAATATATAGAAATAAATACAATGGATATGAATATATAGAGAAATATATATTTTAAAAATACACAAATAAATACAGTTATGTCTATAAAAGTCCATACTCAATACTATTAAATATCAGCACTTGCCATCATGAATTAGCAGGTTGGTTACTTGCTTCAGCCAAGAATTTGTCCTATGCTTATGATAACTAGCTATACATGCATTTTATCTAGCTATTTATGCGAGAATTCAAATGAATGTTCTTTTGTAAGGCAGTTGATTTCTTTTGCTACTGCTAATGCAGTAAAAGGAATCTTTCCAAGCTTAGGAACAAGCAACAGAACCCTTAATTTGAATTTATAGTCTTCAGAGACAGTCTGTGACACAACTAGACTGTCCAACAACTTATTTTAATTAATATGATTTGTTCTATTTATTTAAGTAGGAGAGTTATATACCAACAAACAGGACAACTAAGAATGCTAACGGTAACATTTTAAATAGTTATGGCTTAGAGAAAGCATAAATGGGAGCATAGCCATCAGTAGTAATGGAAGCTGAACTTTTCTATTAACAGTAAATCATCCCTATCTCCACAAGGGATTTTTTGTTTTGAGAGATTAGGTCGAAGGCCAAGGACATGCTATATGGCCAGCACTCAGTGCTGATGTAAGAAGAAATGCCCTTTGCTAAGAGAAGTGCCAGGACTACTATATATTGTGAGAATCACATTGCTGATTATTCTCAGAGTAATGTATAATTTAATGAAGAAAAAGAAAAAAAGTCATTTTTTTCCTAGTTAAGTTTGATATACCTGGAAATGTTCATGGACTGTGCTCTGTAGACACTCGGTATCTATTTCCACTTACTAAACTGTTAGGTTAAAAGCTACATAAGCTTTGTCAAGCAATGCTAGTCTTGCTCCAAAAATGACTTTCTAGAAAGTCATCTTTTTCTTCAAGAAAAGAATTACATGTTTACAACTCTAAATTTCCAAAAAAATTGAATGCATTTTTACTAGCCATATATAGCTGATGGCAACACAGGCATCACAGGCTGGGTTGGCAACACAGGTTGGCACAAGGCTAACCAACCATTGCACTAACCACTTCTGGGGATAACAGTCTGAATGAAAGCACCATTTAGAAATGCATGATCATCAGTTGATGAGCCTGTCTGCAATCTCTGTTACTCAAATTAATAACAACATCATGTTTAGAAAAGGATTTGAAATACAGACCTGGCTCATACTTTGTTTAAAGTTGGCTAAGGATTTAGAAAGCTTAAAAGTATTTCCGAATCTAGGGAAAAATGAGAGCTCTACATGGTTAGCGTTGCCATTACTGTTCATTGAGTCACTGCCTATATATTCATATTCACATAGGTTCTAATGTTCTTTGATTACTGAATGAATGAAAGTATTTACTGAATGCCTATTTTGTACTGGCACTGTGGGGTTTGAGATCATATAAGCATAATAGCTAATGTTCATTTAGCAATGTCGATGTGTCAGGCACTGTTCTAAGTATTTGCATATATTAATTCATGTAGCCCTCACAGCAACTTTAATTAATGCCACAGACCAGGAGTTACCCAAGGTCACACAACTGGTCAGTGATGGAGCCGGGATTCTCACCCAAGCAATTGGCTCCAGAGTTAATGCTCTTACCCACTATAGTATGTCTTCTGCAGGCTGTTTCTCTCTGTGTCTCCTGTAAGTGAAATGTGAGCCGCTCACAATTTAACAACACATAATGTCCACTCTGCATATGTCAACACATTAAATGATGGAAAAAAAAACCCCACATGGCAGGCCAGAATTGAAAGAACTGATTTGAGTATATTTCAGATCTGTTTGAGTTGAGATGTCTGACTACTACCACGTCAGAGTGGTAGTAGATTGTGGACATTGCCTCGGCTCCTTGGGGATAATGGAACTGTTTCCTCACTTCCCTTCTTCACCCATGGGGAACTAGTTAGAAATACTTTTTCCTTTAACCTCATGCTAACATCAAGGAGGCTGAGAGGCATGATATATAAGATCTTTACCCTCAAAGAACTTACATTCAAATGGGTATCAAAATTATTTCAAGAAAATTTTTCATCTTATGTCCCTTCAGTAAGCTCTGGCGCCGTCTTCAGCAGCTACACAAAATGTGGAGTACATCACCTGTCCACACCTGGTCACTCTTTCCAAGATTCTTGATCTCTTCTTGCTGTTTCAGCTTAGGATATTTAACATGAAATCACCACTGCAATATTTTGTTTAAAATTGGCTAAGAATTTAGAAAGATTAAAATCATTCTAGAATGGTTTTATTCTAGATGAATTTTAAGTTTTATTAAAACTTAAAGTTTTTTATTTTTCCCTTTTGAGAGTAGTTCCCTAGACAATGAAACAAAACGAGGCCAATACTTTGATGTGAGTCCAAGCTTTGGCAAAATGCATAAAAATAATACCAAGTCCAAGAGAAATTGAAACTCTAAGCACATTTTGTTTGTATGCCTTCCTTGTTTCTAATTTAATAAATGTTTCCCAGAATGGAGTTTGCAAATCAAAGGAAATATATATATATATATTTAAAATGTTTACTTATTCCCTTTTGGGTTCTGTGTCAATTGTGTACATTTCATAAATATAAACATAAAATGTATTTGCTAAGGAATTACATTTGTTGATGTGGCAGCCTCATGGCTTAAAGTATAAAAAATTCATACCTTGTCAATTATGAATTACATTTCCCCCATTTGTATAGAATATGAAATTTGAGTACTAGCTAAAAATGTATGTGATACTATTTCGGATGTGAGGACTGCTAAAAAAAAAAAAATCAACCTCACCCTGCCTTAAGAGGTCAAACAACATCTGAAAACTATAATTCTTTAAGTAATAAAAAAAACTATTGTTTGCTCATTTACTCAGCTTTCTTCTTACTACATCCAGTTACCAACCGTATCAGTCCATTTCCTTTGATTTCTCTTTTAGTCCAGTGGGTGTCGTAGCAGGAAGGCAGTATGAATACCCTTTAATACTTAATGGATTTTTTTTTCAAATTTAAACATCCTACTTGCTAAGCAGAATTAATTTACTAACTCCCACAGGTATCACCCAGGATGCCCTCTTCCTATTTCATTACCGTTTTATGCGTGAACATATCATTGGTGTGGTATTGATGGTGAAAAAACCATCTTGCCCCCAAAAGCTGTGCCTTGTTTCCAGCCCTTGTTTATGAGGTATCTTCCAGCAACTCTCTCACTGCAGAGTTGCACACACTAAACGGTGGTCCAACTCAGATCACTGGCATTTTCCCTGAGGAAAATCCTATGTATGCTGTCAGTTTAATTAGAAACTGGCCCTTTGCTCTATACTGCCAATTACCTCACCCATTATCTCGCACACCCCACAATCCTATCATTCCCCAGAAAATAGGTTATTTCTCCACACATCCTTGTCTCACTGCTGCCAGACAACTGTCTGTGACCCTCTTTCCCCTTCAACTGCTTATAGTCATTTTAACATCTATCATCACAGTTTAAGGTATGATTATGTCTAATAATGCTTTATTTTTGCAGTGGGTGCACCACGTTATCACCAGATACAGACAACTTTGACATTTCCAGAGCTTTTTGGCTCCAGGGTAAGTCAAGTACTATATTACCTCCTTCTATGACTGTCAGATGAATAATCTAACACAACTAACTAAATCTTGAGAGAAGACATTACGGTTTTGGAGAGCCGTCTTCCTCACTTCTCAGCACCATAGCCCTGCCCTTTACTCCTCTCTTCTGAGTTTATCTTCCCAATTTAAATTCTAACTTCGAATGTATCAGTTGACTAACATTAAACTTCTAGGAGTCCATTTATTGGCCAACTTAACGTCCTTCTGTACTTAACTACAAATTTAAGATTGAATAATTGTCAATTTAAAAGGAAATAGCTAGGAATCATTAAAAAATAAACAATTGACATACTTAGTAAACAAAATCATTCTAGTTTTTTCTGTCTTACCCAACTAACCTATTTGCCATAACCTCTGAATCTGGGGAAAATGCAACAAGTCTAACTCAGTTATACGCAGTTGACATTCAAAGGTCATTCTCATTGATGTCTAAATTTTTGTCATGAGCTCCTGCTACCATATTATAATTATGATTTCCATCTCAAATTAATTAAATTTTCTTTACTATTAAATTCCATCATTCATCCAGCAATATGTAGTGGAACCAGTAATGTCTACTGATGTCTAATATGCCGAATTTTGTTGTAAATTCAGTTATTAAAAACAAGGTCTTTGTCAGCCCTTTCACTTATAAGCCATAGAGTATACTCAAGAGGAACTCACCTAACAATTTGGAATTATCATTAAAAATGTAAAAAGCCTGTGTGGGCCAATTCTTCTTTAATGTTAGCTAGAAGATGAACTCTGCCCAAAATATGCTTTGGGGATATAGTATATTAATGATCCAATGGAATAAACACTTGACTATCAAAAAGCACCAAGTTTGAAAAATTACTTTTTCTTAACCTAACCCTGTCTTTATACAACATAAACAGATTCATTACTGCTGAGATAAGCTGTATCTTTAATTTCATTTTCACAAAACTTCAACACACCTCCATAGAATCCAGATCGTTCTCTCAGTAAATAACTATGATATTACCATTATTAGTGTTCATAGGAAGTCCCTGTTTAGAAGCACAACAGGGAAATTACTACACAGTATTCTCCACCCCCAGCAAACACATAAAAACACAAACACACACATGCCCGTATTTAATAAAACACTGGAAAATGATCAGAATAATCAAGAAAATGCTTTATCTTCACCTGTGGTTCAGCTATTCAGCCAACTTTAACCAATGTTATATCATTCAATTATTTTTAAAATCTAGGAAAATATTTGCAAATCAAGGTTATAAGGAAAATGTCAACCTAATTAGGAAAAGAAACCAAGCTATCAAGCAATGGAATACTGTGAATCACTAACCTTAAATTCTATGTACATGGAAGCAGAAGAGATTCCAGATAAAAGGCTCAGATTGCATGCTGTGAAATATTTCACTTTCACCTGCTCCTATATTCTGTGGGTTTCTTTTCTGTTTTTTGTTCTTTCCTTAATAATTCAAATTTTTAATTATGAGAATTCCATTACCCTTCATTTGCTATGAAGCTAGCACTGCCTGTAAGATTGAGAAACTGAATTGATGAAATATAACCAACCTTTTTATAGAAAAGAGCCATTTCTAAAATACCCTAAACTCTGCCAAGCTTTGAAATTCTTAGTGTTGTGTTATGGAATCCATTAATTGTTATTATTAACATGAAATGTTAGAGAGGGGAGGTGACAAAAGATAGTAATGCAGGACTGTGGGTACCTGTGCTTCAAGCCATAAGCCACGATGCTGTCTGTGGTCAAATGGGTGGGTACTACAATTTCCTAGGCAGTGCTAACTAACTAGTCTAGACTCCTTTCAGAAACTACAAAGCTATTTAGTGAACGTCTCCTGGAAGCTATACAAACTTCAGATAACTGAACAAAATACTGGTATATAGGAAAATATATTTGGAGTGCCTACTATGAGGCAATGTATTATGCACAGGGGATATAACACAGTGACTACAACAATTATTGCCCCTTCTCTTATGGAACTTCTATCTGTGACAAAGACAAACTTTGGGCAAGTAATCAAATTGAATGAATTAGTGAATGGCAGTGCTGCAAGTCATATTTCAATGATTTTTATAGTTTTCTATGTATAGTTCCTGCATATTTTGGCTAGGGAAAATCCTAGAAATTTTATGGTGTGTATGTTGCTACTATTCAGCGAATTTTTTAAACTATCTCTTCAATTTCTTATTGGGATATTGATATTTTTCAATATTTTTCTTGTATTTCATAGCCTTATGATTTCCAAGAGGATTTTATGTGATATTTGGGGGTTTTCTAAGAAATAATCTCTGCAGTCAATAACCATTTCCCACATTTCTTTTCCAGCAGTTAACCCATTATTTCTAATTTATGTCTTATTATACCAGCCAGAAATTCTAGAAAAATGTTAAATAGATTGGGATATCCATCTCCTCCTTGATTCTAATGAGTTCTAATTTTAAAACTAACATTATATATTTTCTGTCTTCTTAGATATCCTTTCTTTATGAGAAGAAAGTATCCTTCATTTTTTTCCCTTAAGATTTTGTTTGTTAGGAATGTTCTTTTTCAACTTCTTAATTATGATTTCTGTCTCAGTTGATTAGAGTATGACTTTAAGTAACTTTTTTTTAAAAGGTCATTTGGTGGTATAATTTTAAAATTCTTGAATAACTAAGAATTCTCCTGTCATCACACATAAACAACATCTAGGAGGGCATACAGTCCTTAGGTTACAAGTTTACTTCTTAAAATGCTATAGGCAGGTGGGAGTACATTGTATAGCCAATTTGGGAAGTGGTTTTGGTAGTTTATTAAAAAGTTAAATATACTTCTACCATATAACCCTTCTATCCCACTCCTAGGTGTCTACCTAAGAGAAATAGAAATTTACATTCACATAAAACCTTATAAGCAAATGTTTATGGCAGCTTTACAGTAGCCCCAAACTATAAACAACCCAGATGTCCTTAAACTATTTCATACAATAAAATATCACTCAGCCATACGAAGGAACAAACTACTGGTTCACACAACAACTTGGGTGAATTTTAAATGCATTTTCCTAAGTGAAGGAATTCAGAATCAAGTGGTTATATGTTGTGTGGTTCCATCTTACATGACAGAGATTCCTAAAAAAAGCAAAAATACAGGGAAGAAAGCAGATCAGTGCTTGCCAGGGGTTGGGAATGGGAGGAGAAATTCTCCCTAAGAGAGTAACTCTTGTTTTGGGGGTTGATTAAACTGTTCTGTAGGAAACTGTAGTGGTGGACACCTTGCTCTGTGCATCTGTCAAAATACATAGAACTGTACACCACAACGAGTGAAATTTATTAAGATGACAAAATCAACTAGGATGTGGGGGGAAATATGAAATACTGACTGTGACATGGGTATCTAACAATATTACAAATGAATCGATAACTACACTGAAGGGGGTGAGGGAGAAAGGAGCGAAGCTAAGAAACTCTGGAAAGCAACATTTTGACTGAATGTTTTAAGACTAAAGGCAGAAGAGCTGTTCACAAACAATGTTCTCTAGTTGGTAATTTGTTTCTAACAGGATATGGATTAGGAAATCTAAAACTATTATCTTAATTTTTTTTAAACTTGAGATTTTGGAAGTATTTTTAGATGCTTTTAAAGATATTTTTACTTATGTTTATATACTAGGATTGAGTTGTCAAATTATAGAAAATGGGAGTCATGTTTGTCAGAGAAAGAAGTTACAGGTAAGAGAAGAAAGCTAGAATGAGCTCTGTGGTGGTGGGTTAAAATTGGAGATATCAATGTGAACTTACTCTTTCAATGTACATATAAATGATACAGAAATAAACCTTGATGTGTGTGTATGCTTGAGTTAGTATCCACACATGTATTTACTAGCCCTACCTACTGAAAGGGGCTAGAAGGTACCCCAGTAGCAATGAGCAGTCAGCACCTAAATCTTGGTTTCCAAATTCTGCTCTCTAGTGAAAAAGACAGGACTCCTTAGAGAAACAGCTGATTCTAGGGCTGGGGCAGGGGAACACAGCAGGGGAACACAAAATGAACCTGGAGCATCAGAAAGTAAGGAGGTTAAAAAAAAGATAAGACCATATCAAAAGGGCATGGGAGCCAGCCTGGAAAGTTGCCAATTGCCAAAGGTGAACCAGCTTGAGCGACAAAATAAATAATGATTGCATTAGATTATAATCAAATAAAATAAATATTTCTGAATCCATGCTAATATAAACAAGTGAATAAATGGGAGGATAAGTGACAACTCTTTCTCAAATAATAATTCTAATTAACATACATGAAGGAACAAGGGAGAGAAAAATCACCATTAAAGCACCACAGCAATAATTGCCACACTGTGGGTGCTAAAATTAGTGGGTGAAAGAAAGTTTATGCCAAAACTGGATATCTGCATAAGATCAAAGTGTCTTCCCAAATATTTAGTAATCACAAAGGAAAAATGGTAGAGAATCCTAACAAATGCCAGCTTAACCAAGTGACCAAGAGTAACATCACCACTAATAAGACAACTTACGCTATTTAATCCCCGAAATGAGACACTGCACTGAGAAGGGCACATCACCTCTATGGTTTCCCTCCCAATAATGCACAACCTTAATCTAATGAGAAAGCATCAGGTGAATCCAAACTGAGGCAGTTTCCAAAATAACTGACTAGTACCCTTCAGAAGTGTCCAAGCCATGAAAGACAAAGATGTAGGAACTGGCATAGATGGGAAAAGACCAAGGAGACGTGACAACTAAATGCAGTGTGAGATCCTGGAACAACAGAAGGACATTAGTAGAAAAAAGTTCTGTACTTCAGTTATGAGTAGTATCCCAAGATTGATTTTTCAAATATTTTGGTTGAGGAGGAATATTTGCACTATGAGAGTTATATCGGAAACTCCTGTACTCCAGAATCAGAAAAGAGAATGTGAAGCAAAAGATTATATTTCACAGGATAATTAAAGCAAGAGATATGGTAT